CTTCTGTAGGAGGAAAGGTCCCTGTTCCATTTAGAGCCTTTACTACTTAACGTGGTATTTGAGGCCCTTCCTGTGCAGCAGCAGTCTCACATTTCAGACTCTGCTTGCCTTTCTCGGCCTCAGCTTGGAGAACCCCTGTTCACCTTTCAGAGCCCAGCTCCAATATTGTCTTCTCTGTGAAGTCCCACCCCTCCTTCCCTCAGCAAGTTCACTCATTTAGGAAATAATACTTCCTTTTTTCCCCTAAACCTTTTGTTTTTATGTCATCTCTATACCTAATGTGGGGCTCGAACTTACCACCCCAAGATCAAGAGTCGCATGCTCCACAGGCTGAGCCAGCTGGGAACTAATAGTCTTGAAGCTCTCGTCTGTGCTAGGCACTGAGGCTGGTTGAAAAACTTACTTCCTATTCTCTGGGAGCCCACCATCTCCTTGTAGAGACAGATACTCACACAGAGCTGCACGGATAGGAGTATCACCACATCAGCGACCGCCAACAAAGACAGACAAGCCAAGTGGCTCTCGTGCTCCAAGTCCAGAGCAGGGGTTTTTGCCCCAGCCTGGCCTGGCCCGGCCCAGGGACTTTGGGAGCTAACCTGAGGGCTGAGGAAGGGTAACGTTACCTGCATTGGTGGGGAGCTATGCTCCCTGTGCCAGGCCTGAGGTGAAGCTAGGGTGGGATCCCATGGGAAGTGTAGTGGGAGAGCTGGGCAGGGCCTCTTGAGCCCAGGGGGGTAGGCTGGGTTTTCTTCTGCTGGCACCAGGCGGGCTGCAAAGGCTTCTGCACAGAGGGTGACTTCTGGAGCTAATGGAGTCAGGACTTCATAAACACCCTCTGGCTGCTGTGGGAGGTGCAGTGAGGCCCACATGGATTTTTCAGGTCAGCCAGATTCCAAAGCGCAGGGGACACAACTTCATTCTGTGTTTCTCTCAGAAACTCCACTCCCCCGAGGGCGCCTCAGTGGCTCAGGCCATTTATTCAGTGTCTGCCTTTGACTCAGGCTCCTTGCTCAGTGGGGAGCTGGCTTCTCCCTCTGCCTTTCACCCTGCTTGTTCTCTCCCACTCACTGCCTCTTCTCAAATAAATAAAATCTTTAAAAAAAGAAAGAAAGAAACTCCATTCCAGTGATGGTGGTGGGAACAACTTCTCCAATGGGCTGGAGGTCCACAGCAGCACTTTTACCTGTGCTGGCATCTACATGTTGCTGGCTGGCAGGCCACCTGGCAATGGCTTTGTCCTGCAGTCCTGGCCAGAAGGCCTCTGAACCCAGTGCTGCTCCTGGCTGCAGCCTGGCCTCCTCTCTCAGCTTAGGCCATGGGGTGGGGGAGATGCCAGGCTTGAGAACAACTAGGGACGCTGGGGCTCCTGCCCTAGGATGTGCCGCCCTGAGGGTGGTTCTCAGGGACCCAGGCTCAGTGCACAGGCTCAGGTTCCCTTTGCCTCTCCCCCAGCACCCCGCAGCCTGCAGTCTCTCCCTCCTGACTCCTTTCTGTCCCTTCAGAACCCAGCTTTGGAAATGCAGCTTCTCTGGGAAGCTGCTGTTGGTCTTTTCCTAAATAGTCAAATGCCTTCTTGATAGAAGTACAGAGAATGAGATATTATCTTAGTCATGTCCTGGCTCATACTGTTTTATACAAATCTAGTCATGAGAATACATACTTCTTGACCGTGCAACACTCTGCAAAATCCTTGGATACTTTTTTTAAAAAGATTTTATTTATTTATTTGTGAGAGACCGTGACAGAGATAGCGAGAGAGAGGACAAGCAAGGAGGAGACGGAGAAGCAGGCTCCCACTCAGCAGAGAGCCCCATGTGGGACCTGATCCCAGGACCTTGGGATCATGACCTGAGCCGAAGGCAGGCGCTTACCTGACCAAGCCATCCAGGTGACCCAAGATGCATGGATACTTAAAAGATGTCATGTCCCGAATGTCAGGTCTGGTTCAGTGAGACTACGAGACATCATAACTAAGAGCAGTGAGCGACCCTTGGGTGGATCCCGGGCGAATACAAAGGAAGAGCCAGAGAGGACATTATTGGGGACTTTGGAGTGTGGCTGTGCTTTCGTATTCATGTCTGGGCCTTGGCACTCTTCTGGGTAATGGGGTTGGGGGGGTGCTCATGGACCACTCCTTTTTTACGTTAGAGGGTGACAGTGGTATTGTGGTCATGCAGGAATGTCCTTATTCTCAGGCGGTGCCTGGTGTGTTTGGGGTGGAGTATGGTGTATGCAGCTAGCTCTCAGATGACTCGGGGAGAAGTGGGGCGTGTTTGGATAGGCCTGCAAGGGATGGTGCAAATATGGTCGTTGTTGACAGTTGCTGATTTTGGGTGAAGGACATGGTGTTCATTATCCTGTTCTTTCTTCACTGTGGCAGCAGCAGGGCTGGGATTGGAGGCCCCGATGCTGCATGTCACATGCTTCCTGCTCCCCGTGCTCCGCTGTAGGGAGTTTAGGATCCTTGCTGGAGACCCTGATCCAACTGCCAGGGCCACTCCCCTGCTGTGGCAGGAATACTCAGGCCCTGAGGGGTAGGCGTCCCCCCTTTTCCCCTGAGGCCTGTCAGGAATAGAGCTGGGCTGCTAGCTAGCTCGTGGCCCCCTCCAGCATTCACTCACCGCTCTGAGTGTCCGGCTCAGTGCCCAAGGCCACCTGCAACCTCTTCACTTACTCTTCTAGTCACCACTTCCCCTCAGGGCAGGGATAGGTCCAGGGGGTGCTCTGCTGCCCCGCTGTGCGCACCACTAACAGGATCCAGAGAGGAGGGCAGGAGGCTCTGAGCACAGGGGTCTGGCCTGAGGGAGGAGCGGAGCTCAGGAGGGACCAGGTGGAGCTGGGAGGCAGTTCTGTGCATCCCCTGAGCCCAAGGTCACTGCGTCTTAGCTGGGTGGTGGGACGAGGATGGAAACCAGGCATCTGCAGCCCAGCTTGGCCTGAAACTTGCTGAAAACCATGTTTGTATCACGGGGCATTACACTTGAACATCCTTCTGCCTGGAACGCACTCTCCCCAGACCTGCCATCCCCCAGAGCAGGTTGATACCCTTGGTGCCTCTGGACTGGAGCAGAGTGCTGCACCCCAGGCTGTGTGTGGGGCTGCTCTGTCGCTTCCTGCAGCCTCCTGGTGCTGCATCTTCTCTTCTGCTGCCTGCGGTAGACTTAAACTCACGTAGGCCTCATTCAGTGTCTTTCTCCTTCACCAGAGTGTGGTTCTGTGACCACCTGCCAGGCGCGGGGACGTTGGAGCAGGTGCTCGGGAGGTGTGTTGAGTGCACACAGCTATCAGGGGGAGGCCGCTGCTGAGGGGACAGAGAGAGTACTGGTCCTCGGTCTGCGGGGTGGGCCAGGGCAGCCCAGCTTGGCTTCCGTGGAGCAATGATGGGTTAAGTGCCTGTTTCTCACAGGAGGCAGGTTAAGGGGGATGTTACTCATTTGTAAGGTCAGGGAACCAAAGGCAGCTTTCTCGCCCAGGGTTGTGAGCCAGGTTGTGCCAGAGCTGGAATGACGGTTTACAAATAAGTCAGCCTGTCTCCAAAGAGCTGCTGTGTGGCAAGGGGTCTGGCTCAGTCTCCCGGGCTGTCCCCTCCACCCATCTCACCCCAGCCTGGCCCGGCCCGCTGTAAGAACACCATGAGCCCTTGGTACACGTTACCTCATTTATTCTCACAACATGCCTGTGAGGTAGGGAGGGGCAGGGACTGTCCCCATTTTACAGAGGAGGAAGTTGAGGCACACAGAGGTCAAGTGACTTGCCCAAGGTCACAGACGGCGGCCAGGCTGGAATGGGGCCCCAGAGCAGGCCCTCTGTTCACCCGGGGCCCCTGCAGCGAGTGCCGGACATGAGGACATCTCCAATGCCATCTTCATCTCCATGGTAGAGAGAGCAGCCCTCGTGTGCTGGGCCTCCCCCTATCCCCTCCTGCCCCCAACCTTGTAGGCCTGGGCCACTGCAGCTCAGGGCTGACGCCACCCTGGGAGTGGGGCTGGGCTGGGTTGGGGGTGGTGCAGGGTGGGAGAGAGAAGGATGATTGGGGTAAAAAAAAAAAAAAAGAATAGAAAATTCAGAGGCAGGGCAGATGGGCCCACGGCAGGGGGCAGGTGGGAGACCAAAAAAAAGGCCGCTTACACACAAGGTATATATTTTTACACACACTTGTACACACACCTAGATATAGTACATGTAAAAATATATGCTATTCACACACCCGCCTCCTGCCAGGTGCCCCGAGAGCCAGCGGCGGCGCTGGGGGGCATGGGTGAGCAGATGGGCGTTTGTTAAATATACACTCTAAGGTCTATGTGCATATGTACACATACATACAGACACAGCCGCCTGCCCCTCAGGTGCTGTACACAGGCTCGGCCAGGGACAGGCGACCCCTGGAAAATGGGGTCCCTCTCTTGAGTGTCCCCTGCAAGTCACTCTGAGTCAGACATTTTACTGAAGGAAGAGGGGGCTGGAGAGAAGAAAGAGGCGGGAGTCTGGAGTATGGTAACGGTGGCTTTTATCTCATTGTCCCCCACCAAAGCCCTGAACCCTCCTCCCCTTCTCGGAGAACCCCCCGTCCCCTGTGCCTGGGGCTGCTGCTGCAGGGCCAGCGCCTGTGTGTGCGCATGAGCAAGTGGGAGCGCTGGGGCAGGGGCGCGGGTCTGGCTCTCCAGGCTGGCAGCTGCACGCAGGGCCCAGAGTTGGCAAGCCGGCCGCCACGATGGTGGCCCCAGGGTGAGCTCTGAAGGGAGAGGAGATGAACAGAAGAATGAAAACTGCAAGGTCAGAGCAGGGTAGCGGGAAGAGGAGGAAGGACATGGCAGGTACCCAAGGCTGTCCTCGGACTGTCCTCGTCTTGTAAACAAGCTAGTGCGAGTTCTCGTGAGATAGAACAAGTAAAAAGACCGCAGTCTGGAGGCTGGGCCAGGAGGTGCCGAGGTCCGTCTACCTAGCCCACCGTGGCCAACCAGAGGGGAAAAAAAAGTTGAGAGTTTTGTGTTTCTGTTGACTTTTTTTTGTATGAAGTCTTCATTAACCTAAAGCTGGGAGGGACCCAAAAAAGCCAAATTGTGAGCCCTTGTATGCGTCAATTGAAAGTTGGCTCAGGGTCTCTGGACAGAATAACCATCTTAAAGGTTGAGAAAATGGTGTTCCGTTCACATTTAGTTTGTGTGTTTGTTTTTTTAATGACTCAAAATTGTTTGCTTCCCACTTCCTGGTCTCAGAGTCGGGTCTGGGCCTCAGGGACATAAATCTCGATGCTGTCCGCACTCTCTGTGGCTGAATTCTGCCGCACAGAAGCTGCCCGCTTGGCCGCCAGGAGTCTCTTGCGGGCCTCCTGACGCTGCTTGTCCCCGGCGTCGGAGGCCTTGTCGCGGCTCACTGCCGGCTTCGATTTAGCTGGCTTCTTTGGGACCGGAGGGGGTGGTTTCTTCTCTTCCTTTAGTGAGACAGTGAGGAGGGAAGAAAAATAAAGGTGCACCTTTTGTGGGGCGTTACCTCCCACTTGATGCTGGCAGCTGGAGCCTCCGCCCCAGCCTCCCCACATCAGGCACAAGCAACACACACGTGGAATCAGAAAGCCACAAGAAGCGATGATAGTGGGAATAGCACAAGGCATAGGAGCAAGATGCAAGCTTAGGATTCTAGAATGTTCTAGCAGGAAGGGATGGACACAGCACCTGTCCCCACCCCTGCTCTGAACCATGGGGAGCCTGAGTCACAAGGCCTGAGCTGGGATTTAAATTCAGGACCTCAGACTTCCAGGCCACATTTCACAGGCTTTTTTAGGGGGTCAGAACTCACAGGGGCCATGGTTCAGTACCCAATAACCACAGGGGGTCCCTGGGTGCCATGGTTTTACAGAAGGAAGCCGAACCTCATGGGAGAGGCTGGCCCCAGGAGGACTGATCTTCTGTCTCCAGAGTTCTGACAGCCATGTCTCTACCTGTGCTCAGGACTGTGGGCATCTGTCTCCTAGGAGCCCCCTTTCTGAACATGCAGGGTGGGATGGCATGCTTCAGGGGGCAGCCTCGACTACACAGAGCGAGCAGCATGCTGGACAAGAGCCAAGCATGGACCCTGCGCACTGATGGACGTGAGCCCCCAGCTCAAAGACGACACACGGAGAAGGGAGCCAAGCAGCACTGACCGATGTGGGCAGCGTTATTGCCGACCAGGAATTTGTCCCTGGACTTCCCCTCCGCACTGCTCCATGCTCACCTTCCTCTTCTCGGGGGTTTCCACCAGCTGCCAGCTGTTGGCCTTGAGGTGGTAGAGTTCATCAAACTTCATGCTGATGTCCTCGATGGACAGCTGTAGCAGGTCCCAGAACCCTGCCAGGTCCTGGGCTGTCGGACGTGGGTTGGCTTCAGGGTTCTGCAGAGGGAGATGGGGATCAGTGGGGCAAGCAAGGCAGACACTTGTTCTGCACCCCACACCAAGTATGGTCTCGTGACCCTGCCAGCTCTGGTTAGGGTCCCTGGAGGCCTCATCTTGCTTCCCCCCAGTTCCCAACATCAGGATCTGTAGGAGGGAATGAAGCAAGTTCGTGGTCACTGCCAACCCTGTGATGGTGCAGATCTTTGGGAGAAAGAGAGCAGGACCTGTACATACATGGGACTGAGGCCTTCACCACCACTGTAGGACTACAGGGAGGGAGGCCCTCATGCGCCTAATGTATGTCAGGCTGAGAGCTCTTCTCATTGTACAGAAGCTCCTGGCTGTGGTCTCACAGTGAGGCAGGAAGAAGCCAGGAGCACAGCCAGATGGGTGTATTTACAGAACCCACAGGGTTTCTGTCCCCCTAGTCTGTTCTCCAACAACACACTGCTCATGATAACTGCCCCAGCCAATGCTACATCTCTGCAGGTCCTGGAGATAAACACTCGCCCTTATCCTCCGGCCCTAGGAGCATGCTGTCCGTGGCCTTGAGGAGTGAGGTGAGGCCTCCACAGGAAAAGCCACCCTCCTGATAGGGAAGGCCAGGGGGTGATAGCTCTCCAGCCCTCACCCAACGTCTTAGAGCATGTTTAATACAAATGAGTTAGTGCTGATTTTTAAGTTTCATGTGGCTCCTTTCACATAGGCTTTGCTTTTCTATTTGAAGAGGCGTTAGAAATCTGGAAGGCTCTTTTCCTTGTGCGAGGCATGGACATGTCACCAGCACCTTCTCTGTGTTAGGGAGGAGGGCACAGAGGCTTAGAGGGGCTACTCTGGCAGGAAGGCAAAGTCTGGAAGGCCCACGGTGGAGGAGGAAGAGTCACACTCACCAGGTTTTGCTCACAGAGGCCCCGGAACTGCTGGAATTTCTGGGACATCAGTAGCTGGGCACTGCCCACAGCACTGAGGACTTTTCCTAAGACTGAGAAAGAGAAGGTGGAGAGAGCACAGGGTTTGTTGGGGTAGAAGGCAGGATCAGGGCTTTTATCCCCTTGACCCCACTCAGGTTACCAATCATCATTTGGTGAATGGCATCTGGTCTTCATTTTACACCCACTTTAATCTGCTCTTGTAAGAAATACAAACACGACAGATAAAGTGAGTCCCATGTCTTAGTTCCTACATATATTTTATGGCAATAGATTTGAAAATTGAGTTTAAATGGAAAAAATTTCCAGGGAAACCTAAATTATCTTAGAATCAGAAAGAAACAGAAAATCTTATTAGACCAAAGCTGTTTAAAAAAAAAAAAATTGAAGAGGTTAAAAATCTTCCCAGAAAAAGGAGCCAAGCTAAACTATGTAGTTTTACAGGTGATGTTTGATAAAACCTCTACAGAACAGAAAATCCCAGTATCATACATTGAGATTGTTCCAGAGAGTCCATAAACATAGGAAATGACACTGCTCATTTCAGGAGCCCTGAGAATAGATAGGACATGCCAAGTATAGACCACTTTCATTCTGAACATAAATGTGAAAGTCTCATCAAATATAAGCAAATAGAATCCAACAGGAGAGTTAGCCATGAAGGTCTCAGCCCAGGAATATAAGGCTGATCTTTCACTAATTGTGGTATAAAGACAGTAGGATTTCTCAGCTGCCGTAGAATCACCAAAGGAAAACAGTAAAGAGGAAATAGACAGCTCTCCTGTGACCAAACTCGTCAGCACTGGGTGTGAAGTGGGCTGCCTGTCTGGATTGAGATGTCAGTTTTGAGTTTTCCAAAGCAGCATGCCTTGAGGGGAAAAGCCAGTCATTTCTTACTTGAAATGAAAAGGGGATGTGGACTGCAGCAAGAGCTTTCCTGTGCCTGGTTCAGCACCAGGGGGTGGGGAGCTTTGCACTGTAAGGTGGGAGAAGACGAGGCTGAACACGACCCCCATCCCTGTGCTTTAGGAACTCCTACCCACCTGGGACGCAGGCCTGGCCCCTCTCTCACACTGATCTACTTTATAAGAGCTCATCAAGGAAAAATTTTGCCTTATTTAGAAAGTAATTAAAAAGGAGCTAAACAGATTACAGGCACAGCAAATGGCACACGAACATTCACCAGATAGTTCTTGCTAGAAAATGGTGAAAAGCCATGAATATATCAAGCGGCTGTTCAAGGCTGGGATTGAGGTGCTCTGAGAAGAAAATGAGACAGCGGAGCTCAGAGCTAGCGTGAGAGAAAAACCAGGCCATCGAAGAAACCAGGGCCACTGTGAACAGCACAAAGAATAAAACCCGCTATGGGGCCCCAGGAGTAGGAGAAGAGGAGCAAAAAGGCTCCTGGTGCGAAATGCTTCAACTGCTTGGTAACAAAATGAGATCTTTTTTTTTTAAGATTTTATTTATTTGACAGAGATCACAAGTAGGCAGAGACAGAGGGGGAAGTAGGCTCCCCGTTGAGCAGAGAGCCCAATGCGGGGCTCGATCCCAGGACCCTGAGATCATGACCTGAGGTGAAGGCAGAGGCTTTAACCTACTGAGCCACCCAGGCGCCCCCCAAGGTGTCTTTTTAAATAGTTAAATTTCCAGGAATAAAATGAGCCACTCCTCACCCCCTTCTTAAGACAGGTAGTGGAGACACTTGGTCTAGAGTGAAGTAGGAATAAAAGGAAAGATGTCTTCTGAGAATTCCCAAGCATGAGACTGCACTTGGGCACCTAATTTCTTAAGAAATAAAAGCAGTTGGGCGCCTGGGTGGCTCAATTGGTTGAGCGACTGCCTTCGGCTCAGGTCATGATCCCGGACTTCCAGGATTGAGTCCCACATCGGGCTCCCAGCTCTTTGGGGAGTCTGCTTCTCCCTCTGATCTTCTCCTCTCTCATGCTCTCTCTCACTCATTCTCTCTCAAATAAATAAATAAAATTAAAAAAAAAAAAAAGGCAGCATCTTAAAAAAAAAGCAGCAACTAAATATGAAAGAAACTATCAAAAAAGAAAGGGGCTGAGAGACACTGAAGAGAGTGGGCCTCTGTGTACATGGGTCAGCTCTATAAGAAGAGAGCAGACATGATTTAGAACTTTCCAGAAATGGCTGACACCTGGTACTCAGAAGCCAAATGAATCCCAAGCAAATTCACATTGCCGGTAAAATAGAAGACACAGAGATGCTCCTAGAAAGCAGCCAAAGGGCAAGGAAAGATTAAAAGCAATCTTTCTGCTAAAGAAATGAATTCAACAGAAAATTTCTCAACTACAACAATGGAAAAGTGTGGGGTGAGTTCCTTTGGGTGTAGTATTCTGTCATTCCAGAATGAGTGTGGATGGGGAAAGAGTCTCTTTAGCAGAGTGCTGGAAAAACTATCCACAAGCAAAAGAATGAAGTTGGACCCTTAAGAATGAATCTAAGTGCTAAAACTATAAAACTCTTAGATAAAAACAGCAAATCTTCATGACCTTGAACTGGGCAGTAGTTTAAGACTCCAGAAATACAGGCAACAAAAGATAAATTTGGCTTTAGTAAAATGGAAAATTTTTATGCATCGAAGAATACTATGAAGAAAGTGGAATGACAACCCACCAAATGGGAAAATTGCTTGCAAATTACATATCTAATAAAGGGTTAACATCCAGACAATAAAGAACTCGTATAATCCCACAACAAAAATAATCCAATTAAAAAAGGAGCATGGAGCCAAACAGACATTTCCATATACACCAATGTTCAATAAGCGTATCTTCAACATCACTAGCCATCTGGGAGCTGCAAATCAAAACCACAAGATACCACTTCACACCCATTAGGATGCCTGTTAATGAAATAAAACCACCAAAACCCAAAACCCAAAGTTTGCAAAGATGTGGGGAAACTAGAACCCTTGTGTCTCACTGGTGGGAATGTAAAATGGCACGGCTGCTGTGGTCTGGCAGTTCACCTCAAAGAAAGTTAAACATCCATCCAGTTACCATATAACTAAACAATTCCACTCCTAGGTATATACCCCCAAAGAAATGAAAGCAGAGAGTAAACAGATTACCTGTATGCCAATATTCATAGTGGCATTATCCACAGTACTCAAAGGTGGAAGCCACCCAAGTCCTCAGCAATAGATGAATGGAGGGATGTCCGGGTGACTCAAGTGATTGAGCGTCTGCTTTTGGCTTGGGTCATGATCCCAGAGTCCCAGGGTCGACCCTTTCTGCTCAGCAGGGAGTCTGCTTCTCCCTCCCCACTCTTGTGCTCTCTCAAATAAATCAATAAAATGGTATATACATACAATGGAGTATTATTTAGCCATAAAAGAGGAATAAAGTTTTCATGTATAAACTCTTCATGTTTAAAAACACAAAAATAGGGGTGCCTGGCTGGCTCAGTTGGTGGAATGTGCGACTTGATCTCAAAATTGTGATTTTGAGCTCCATGCTGAGTGTAGGGTTTACTTAAAAAACAAAACCATACACATCTAAGTAACCCACTGGTCAAAGGAATCACAGTGGCAGTTGGAAATATTACATGTCCTAACTTGTTAGATATGGCTAAAGTAGTATTTAAAGAGATCCAGAGGTTTCAAAACATGTTTTCAGAGGCTGAAAAAAAAAAAAGCATCCAATATAAGACATAAGTGAAGGAACAATACAATGAACCCCGAAAGAGCAGAAATATAATAAATACACCAAAATATAATAGAGGATTAATAAAATTAATAAACCCTGCCAGGCTGATCAAAATAAAAAGGAGACAGGTGCAAAAAAATAAAGATTTTAAAGTAATCTCTACACTCAACATAGTGCTTGAACTCATGACCTCAAGATCAAGAGTTGTGTACTCCACCAACTGAGCCAGCCAGGTGCCCCTGGAAAAGACTTTTTAAAAGATTTTATTTATGTATTTGACAGAGGGTGCACAAGCAGAACTGCAAAGGGAGAAGCAGACTCCCAACTGATGAGCAGGGAGCCCAATGTGGGGCTTGATCCCAACAGAGCCGAAGGCAGAGGCTTGACTAGCTAAGCCACCCAGGTACCCCTGGAAAAGATCTTTTTTTTAAAAGTTCTACAAAATGGAGGCTCTCTGCTCAGCAGGGAGCCTGCTTCCTCCTCTCTCTCTGCCTGTCTCAGCCTACTTGTGATCTCTGTCAAATAAATAAATAAAATCTTAAAAAAAAAAAAAGTTCTACAGAATGGTAAAATAAAAGGTAATTTTGTTGTTAAAATGCATATGAATAGAGGAAATATCTCAAACTCATTTTATGAAGCTGGATAACATTAATACTAAAATAGGACAAGTATGAGAAAGGAAAATTACCAGCCAACTCTCATGAACAAAGGCAAAAGTATTAAGTCAGATATTATCAAATCAAGACCACCAACATAGTAATGTGATAATATATCCTTATTAGCTTGGGTTTATCCTGGTAATACAAGACTGATCCAACATTAGAAAATTCTAATGACTTCTGTTTCTGGCCATGGAAAACCAGTTAGGAGACAAACCAAACCCTCCCACTAAAAACAAAGGAGAAAACTAAGTAGAACACAAAACAAATCCCCAGAAAATCTCAAAGCATTAATAAATTACCAAAGCAACCAGAATCTGAGAGGCTAAGATGCCAGCAAGAAGGAAACAATATTCAGGCAAGTCTGATACTCTGCACTGCTTGTACCCTATGGCTTCTCCCAATTTATGAACAGCACAAGGCTGAGAGGTGGAAAAGCTGAGCAGAAAGTGGTGGTTAGGGGGCTGAGAAGCTGAGCAGAGCCTGAGGCAGTTTCATGAAATTAGGGAAGCCAAAACTGTGAAGACAGGATTTGCAGTAGGGGAATGCATTAAGCTAAGCAATGCTTCCAGTAGTCTCCAGTGGGAGAGATGAAAATGGAGTTCATGGTCTACCAAGGAGGAGGGGCTTAGAACATGCCACAGGCTATCTCTGGGATTCCCTGGGGAGTGCACACTAGGATGAGGATAAGTAGAAACAGACGGTCTCAAAACACCCAGC